AACCTTGACTGAACTGGAACTTGGTAGCCCAAACTGGTCTTGAACTTGTACTAATCCTCCTGCGTCTGCTTCCTGAGTGTGTTGGGATTTCAGATGGGCACCATCATGCATTGGCAGATTAAGTTGTTTTTTTAAAATGTAGTTGTTCCCCATAAAGAATAAAATGTATATATTTTACTCAATAATGCAAATAATTTCACCAAAATGAGAATGATTGTGTGATATAAGAAGGGCCTGGAGGGTTTTATTTAAAGATATTTTTAGTCTAACACTGTAGCACACATACTTCTAGTCACAGATAACTGCTAATTGGGAGGTTAAAGCAGGAGGATGGATAGTTCCAGGCCAATCTAGGCAGCAAGATGCAATTTTATCTCAAAAAAAAAAAAAAAAGAAAGAAAGAAAGAAAGAAACACAAAATAAATAGTTAAAAAGAATGAAACATCTTAAAAACCAAGAATTAAAGGCACTTTTTTTCTTCTGTCTTAATGTCTCAGTGAAGAAAATGTGAAGTTCTCTAGTTCCCAGCCAGAGCCACGGACAGGGCTTTCCTTGTGGGACACTGGTTCCTCCTATGTTGACAAACTGGTACAAGGCATCAGCTTTTCACAGCCTACGTGTCCTGATCACATGCTTGTAAACAGTCAGTTACTTGGGACCCCTGGGTCCTCACAGGTAAGGAATTGGATTTTTCAGATAAATCACCGTTGCCTTTTATTTTTGTTGTCTTAAATCTTAGGGTATATGTGATTACTACTTGTAGTTGGTACACATTGTTTGGATAAGGAAGAAATAACTAGAGGAGGCCTTTATGGGTGAGAATCCTAAGTCAAGGAATAGAATTTCAGACTGTTGCTGTAAACTGGTCACCCTGGATTTATCCAGCTTCCTTCTTTGTTGTGCAGAACCCCTGGCAGCGCTTGGTCAAAAGAATGACACGCTTCTTCACCAAATTGGATGCAGACAAATCTTACCAGTGCCTGAAAGAGACCTTCGAGAAGTTGGGTTATCAGTGGAAGAAGAGTTGTATGAACCAGGTTTGTTTTATTAGTTTTCAGTTATTTTTTTTTAACCATAGAAAATTAAAAGGTATCAGTAGTCATTGAGTGCTTTGAAAATACAAGTTATTAATTTGAAAAGGAAACAATTGAAGGTTTGAAGAATTTTTTTTCTTTGTCCCAAACCTCTAATGTTAGCATTTTTATATTAGACTGGAGTTGACAATGTTCTTACTTAAGTGTTTGGGTTGTGTGCCGGCTCTTGGCTGTGATTTTTCTTTACACCAGTCCTCTTGTGGGAATATTTAAAAAAAACCCAAAGTGAACAGGGATGGGGGACTGAAGTGGGAGTTGTAAGACCTCTCCAAACCTTCACTATCGTCTCACTGGTATTGCAGCTTTTCAGCCATAGATTCAACTTCTCGTTTTCTTTCTTGTAATAATCTTGTTTCCTTTCTTATATATGAGATTGATTGATTGATTGACTAAAGTATTGGGGATTGAACACAGGCCTTGTCCATGTTGGGTAGGTGCTGTGCCGCCAAGCTACATCCCCAGTCTTCATTACATTCCTATTCCTTTTGATCATTTCTTTCAGTTCTGCTTTGCTAAAATGTCTTCCTTTGTTACTAAAAGTTCACTTAGAGTTCTACTTACAGCTTGGTTTAGATTGGATGCAGACTTGCCCAATGGAGAGAGAGAGCAGTCTGGTTTTTTTCTCAGATTTGTTTTTACACTTTTTATACATGAGTGTGTCTGTGTGCATGTATATGTCAGTGTCTGTGTGTGGAGGCATCAGATCCTTTGGAGGTAGAATTATAGGTGATTGGGAGCCTCCTGACATGGGTGCTGGGAATGGAACTCAGGTCCTCTGGAAGAGTGGGTGTCAAGTGCTCTTAACCTGAGCTGTCTCTAGCCCTGTAATTTAAAGTGTTCTTTATGCCACTCCTGTTGTGCGAGGATTGTAGTATACATTTTTATCCCCAAAGTATTACTGACCTGTTGAGACAGAGGTTTCGTTAAGAGTATTTTCTATTCATGTGTGTTTGTGGCTTGACCTTATTTTTATCGCTTTAGGTCACTGTATCAACAACTGATAGAAGAAACAATAAGTTGATTTTCAAAATAAATTTTGTAGAAATGGATGAGAAGATACTGGTTGACTTCCGGCTTTCTAAGGTATTTTTAAAAGCATTTTATTTATAGTTTTTTTTCTATGGAAATATTTCTGTGAATTTTTAAATGGTTTTATGTGTTATATACTGCAGTCTACCCCTCTGCACTATTGCTTGGAGTTTTTTAGGTTGAGCACAGTTCCAATGTGCATGATGAGTCCTTATGCTGTCTTACACTATTTCTCAACTAGGACCTAAATTTTCTCTTTGCCTAGAGTAAATATCTTATGCATATATTTTTGTTCAGGTTATATATATTACTTGCCTATTACTAATTTTGGCCTTCATATTGACTGTCACAGTATTTCATGCTTTTTGTTTTGGGGTAGCAGTTACTTAGTAATGGCTCCAAAGTATAAGGGTAGTAATGCTGGCAATTTTATTCTAGAATATTGTTAACAATTGCTCTGTTTTACTACTAATTGTGTTACTTTTACTATGCCATATTTATAGATTAAACTATATCATAGCCGTGTATACATAGGAATGCATATGGTATATAGGCCATGTAAAGTTCCATCTTATGTGGTTTCAGACCCTCACAGAATGTTTTGGAGCATAGCCACATGAATTTGTAAATACACTGTAACTTTTTTATTTTCATTTAGTGTTACAAACTTTGAATTTTGTCATCTATTTTTCGGAAAATTTTTTGGTTTTTCTCTTTTCTTTCCTGACACCTTTTCAGTATAAAAATCTTGAGGAACTGGGGATGCACTGGAGTTTGTAGAGTGCTTGCTTAGTATGCACAAAGCTCTGGATTGGATCCCCAGCACCAGATAAAACCAGGTGTGGCAGTGATGCCTGTATTCTTCGCAGTCAGCAGGGAGGAGGATTAGGAATTCGGTGCCATCTGAGGCTTCATAGCTAGTTTGAGGCCAGCCCTACGTGGGACCTTGTTCACCCTAAAAAATTGTTTTTTCTTTTTTTGTAACATTCAGAGAAGTAGAGAGTAAAAGAATAAAAATAATTTCTTTTTTTTTTTTTTTTTT